GAGCGCGGCCGAGAGGTCCCAGCTACTTCCTGGTGCTCGGATTTGCATACCCCTCCTGGAGGGCGGGGAAGTGACCGCCTGGCCCCTGCCCAAGGTTTGGGTCTTCGGTGTGGCTGTCGCGCGGAGCTTTGGAGGCAAAGAACCTGCGTCCCGGCGCGCAGCGTGGGAGAGTGGAGCCGCCTGGGGCCCGGCATTCTCCTGCAGGGACGGACGCAGGAATCTTCCAGGAGATCTTCTGGCGCCTGGAGTCCTGGCCCAGCGACGAAACCTCTCGTGTCTTCTTTCCTTCCCTTCCCACCTACTCCCTGGAGTGTTAGGAAGCGGGGTGCCCCTGGCGGCAGAGGAGGCGCACTTTGATCCCCCCAACACTTGGAGTTCTCTAGAGAGAGGATGGGCTGTGCCCAGCTGAGGCTCAGGGTCTCCTGGAGTTCTTGATCACCAGTAGAGTAGCTCCTTAAGGGTGTACACAGGCTCAAGGTATTGATAGAGGCGGTGGCGGGGTGGGGGTCGGGGGCGCTGTGGAGTTATATGGCCTGGCAATTTCTCAGCCCCTCGAAACTTAAGTATCGTCCCGGAAAAATGGGGACAGGATGCTTCTGGGAGGAGGAACTGCCGTCTGGGCAGGGCTCGCACTGTCCAGCGCACAGTAATGGTCGCCATTACTCTTTGGTTCCTGCCATCTCTGTATCCCCGTCTGTAGAGCTTGGCACACAGAAGGTCCCTGACTAGTGTTTGCTGAACGAATGACTTCATCTTCGAGCTCATGTTTCAACTCAGTAAATGCCCGTATAAATCCAAGACAGAGTATCAGTCTCAGGCACCTTGGATGCCCGCCTGTTCTAAGCAAGATTGCGCTCGCTGGGATTCCAGCCTAGAATTTACAAGGAAACAGCCCTCCAGGGAGGAGATTTGGACTCAGTGTTTATAATAGGTAATAGCAGACATTTACCTAGGGTCTACTGGGGGCCAGACGAGCCCTAAGCTCGTCAGACCCATGACCTTTTTTTTTAGCAATTCTGGCCCCCTTACGAGGCTGCACCCAGTCCAGAGGACAAGTCAGCCACCCTGTATCATGATCCATAGAGCAGTCATTTGTTACTAGTAACAGAGGACAAAGGTTTGCAAACTACTTCCTTAACAACAGACAAGTCGGAAGGTCTGTACCTAGATGCTCACTGGTCTGCGGCTGGTTGGTCTCCTGCTGGAGAGGAGGGGTTGGGTTACCTGTTGGAAGGTGTTGCGTGTGTGAGTGAAATCTGTCACGGTCCTGTGGAGCTACTCACTGCCCGAGGGCCATTTTCTGGACTTCCCTGCAGAATGTGCTCTGAAATATCTTGACCCTAATTGGAAATATATACTATTTACCAATGGAGCCTTGAGGCATCTGGCAAGTAAGCATGGGACACCAAATGTCTGGTGTTGCCTAGGCTGTCTGGAAGGTCCTGTCAGTGTTGTTTTGGTGAAGTGGCTCTTGGAGTAAGAAACAAAGCCTCACCAGGCAGAGCTGGGCTTACAGCAAGCTCCCCCACTTCTAACTCCTCACACACACCAACATCCTAACCAAGTTCCCCTCTAGTCGTCGAGAGCACATACGGTGTGTGTCATTCATCTCACACTAGACCGGGCTCTTGTAAGCATTGTTTGCTTGTGTTTCACATGTTAACTTGCTCTCCTCGACTCCTGATGAACAGCAGACCCCTCTTGGGAAGGCATTGCTTTGGTGTTTCTCTCTTTCTTACAGTCACTCTCCACAGTTCACGTAGGTGCTCTGAAATACTTCATTAGCATCGATTGGCTCATTGTTCGATGGACTGCGTTGTCTCGACAGTATTCTCTACTGAGAACTGAGCACAGGATGGAACGGTCAGAGGCAGGCTGCACGTCAACGAAGACCCCGTTGACAGGGTAAATGGGCTTCTGACGGAGGGGAGGGCTGTGACTGAGGGCGCCACAGGAGGAGAAATAGTGGAAATGGCCTCACTATGTGTAGACGAGCCTCATTTTCTCAGATTCTGTGCAAATCACCTGACCTGCTCACTAACAGTTATTAGTAACCCCAGAATCAGTCTGCTCACAGCGCTTTCCCAGTCACCGGTGGATGTGAGCGTGGCCGGGAAAGCTGGAGGCGCCGGACGCACCTGTCCCCGGCTGAGGCCAGCAAAGCGCCTCTCCGCCTTCTAGTTTCAGCTCGTTCTACAAACATGAGCCCTTGTGCGATCTGTTTAGTGCCATGTATTTGCATTTTTGTGGGTGATTTCACCATTTAAAATGACCCCGAGCATAGTGCTGTCTGGCGCCCTAAGACAACAAGGCTGGATTTGCCTTACAGAGGAGACACGTGTCCAAACAGAAAAGCACACAAAACAAGGTTCTCTTTCAATCGATGGAAATGTGGTGGCCAAAGGCACGCAGCCACCTTACTCCAAAGTCCTCCTGGCCACAGTGGCTCAGTATTCACTGACTCAATTGTATGTGGTGACTGTCGAGACCAGGACTCCTGTGATTAATGAGAATTGACTGTAGAAACAGCCCATCATCCAGTGAGAGCAAGAGGAAAGGCCTGACTGCAAGGAGGTTCTCCTCCCACACGGACCTTCAGCTTCATCTGCCTGATCGTGGCCCTCACGGCTGAGATTGGTCATCTCTGCATACAGTGTCACTTCCACCCGCCCACCTCACCAGCTGGAGTGCAGCTCACCCACTGCCACAGTGTGGACTGTCCCCAGTGCCCTCCCACTCCTCTGGGAGCCACCCTCCAGGGGGTCAGACTCCTCAGCTCAGCTCAAGGACTCTCACGGGTTGTCTGCAGAAGCCCCCTGGTTGGCTTTAGGGGGAGGAAAAGAGTCAAGGCTGAGACTCTCCATCTGACCCTTGCAAACATGGCCACAGACCTGAGCAAATAATGCAGAGTTCTCACCTGCCGGCACCTGAGGGTCCCTTGTCCCGGCCCTTCCCAGACCTTTAAACCGACCTCTGGAGGGTAGGATGTGGGGGGACTCCAACCATCAGAGATTCCAAAGCTCCCCAGGTCATTCTAGTGAATAGCCAAGATTAGGGGCCACTGGGAAACAGCCCCAACCAAACCTGGGAGAATTTGGGGCAAATCTGCCAGACAGAGGGGCTTCTACTCATTGCCAGCGTTCGCAGTAGAAGACAGTAGAAGGCCTTCATCTGACGCACTTGGGACCGATGAATCAAACAAGTTATTTGAAGTGAGGGAATTATAAAAATGATGTAAATGTGCCTTCCACGTTCTCCTTGAACTTCAGGCTGAGGTGCGTTCGTTCACCCCCTTGTCTGGTGTCACGCCAGGGCGTTTCCAGATTCCCCTTGCTGAGGTGGTGGGCGCTGGAATCAAACCCCTGACGTGAAAGCACAGCTCCAGCCCTTAGACCACAAGAAGCTCAGACTTCTCCGCCTGAAACCCCACAGACACAGCACAGAGCCCAGGAGCAAACGGTGACATCCAGGCCGAGTCGTCCTCAATTCCTTTACGTTTATGAAGGAACGCCTGAGCTCCCTGAGCAAGAAATTATTAAAACCAAGCTAAACGGAAATAGTCGTAACACCAGTAACTTAACTGGGATTGAACTCTGGTCAAACGTACAAAGTTAATCTCCTCAGGGAGACACGAGGTGGTTCTACATGGCAACGAGACCAAAGTCGTAAACGATGCGTAAGAAATTGTGCCCTGTGGTCCCACTGGGGGCTCCTGGGGTCCAGCGGGGAGGACTGCTTCTGACCTCATTTCGGTTTCCTCTCTGAGGGAGGAGGCCCCAGGCCACATCTCCTGCCGCCCGACCTTCAGCGAGGAGGCCCAGCCCTCAAACAGAGGTGGTCTCGGGACCCTGTATCTGCCCTGTCCCCAGTTCTCATTACTAGAGGTGCCAAACCTGTTTTCTGGGGGCTCCAATGGCACCTAGGAACCCATGTATTTAGCTTTTCATAATTTCAGACTCAGCAAAAAGTTTTCAAAATAGCGCAAAGACTCTCCAGATAGCCTTCAGCCAAATTCTTCAGCTGTCCACATGTAACCGTCTTTGCGCTCCGTCTGTCTCTCCTGTAAATTTCCTGTCCTCCATCAAACTCTTACCCACCGGCATGAGTGTCCACTGACCGTTCTTGCCTGGGTCGATTATAACTGTGGTGGTTGCCAAAGGCTGTGTCTTATGACTTTTGAACAAAAAG